GTTTTTCTAAGTATAAATTTAGAGGATGCTTATGATGGGCATATTTTACTCTAGAGGTATTGTAATAATCAAACAATTGGTTAAGTAACCTAAAAATATTTCAAAATTTAAATTATCTAAAAAAATGATATTCATCAAATTTTATTGAGCTTGAGTCCGTTTTTAATGAAAAACTATTGTGGAAAAAAACAACAACTAAAGCAACAACAATTTGAAAAAATGGTAGATGTGATATCACTATCACTTATAAGGCCATAAATAACAAAAAAAAAATATCTAAAAAGAATTATCTAAAAAGAATATCACAAGCTTCAGTTGTCATGGCAACAGTAGCTTTTTATAAAAATCACCATTATTTTTGCCGATTTCACAACGATCCAGTAGCGCATTTCAAGGCCATTGAGCACCCTGCATTGGTTGCAGTAGCAAATTGAAAGTTGGTATAGATATTGCAAATATCAAAAGGAAAAAAACTATGGGGGTGCCCCGTTTTCTAGGATGACAATTTGTTTCCACATACAAAAATTGGACCACTCTAGTGCACACACACATACATACATACATATATACAAAATAATGGGTCGTATGCATAAAACCCAAGCAAATGCTTTTTCTTAGAACTTCAGACCTTTTACTTGATTTTTTTAAATAAATCAAAGTGAAATGTATGAAATTTTAAGAAGAAGCAATTGCTTCGTTTTTGCGCATACGGCACAAAAAAATTGCTAAAAAATAGTTGTGTTAAAGTTAAACTCGTATAAGTGAGTTCCTTTTGCAAGGAACAGCAGAAATACATACATACATACATTACGAAATAATTAGTTTATATACATACATATGTACATTTATATCATAATTTGAAGTTTAGCTACTAAATAATTAATATTAAATTTGAATAATTAAATTAATTTGCTGTTTCAATGCATATATTATGGTAAATTCTTGCATGTAAGTAGCAAAAATTATTTACATATCTAAACGCGAGTAATAAAGAGATTCTGTTGCATTGTTGAAGCTCAAGGTAGTCAAGGTAAGGTTAGGTTATTGTGGCAGACCCCACGAGGAGGACTCACTTAAACATAACTTAACTGTCCAATGTTGAGTCGCGCTGTGTGAGTCCCAAAAGGACACCTGTAAGAGCTGGCATTTAGCCAGTTGCAGAAGCTCTCTTGACCGCCTGCGGTCAACAATCGGCCAGAAGAACCTTGCAACTTTGCATGTCGGGGTTTTCGCCCAGCGCTCGCTAAGCCGACTGTGTGCCTATTTGTCCAGGAACAGGCCGCTGGTATCCAACGGAACTCCTATGCCCTCCCTGTCCGAGGTGATGGCCTGGAGGGTGCCCTGCCTAGCCAATTCATCAGCCCTGCAATTTTCAGTGAAATAATCCGAGGTGATTAAAAGAGAGGTCAGGCTGCATCTTTATAGCGGCCACCTCCGCCTGAAAGACAGTGTAGTGATCCGGCATGATCCTGAACATAAGATCAACTGAGAACTCCTCACAGTAGACACCTCCTCCAACTCTGCCGGGCAGCTTCGATCTGCCCGTGAATATGTTTATTGGACCTCTAATTTCACATCATTTACTCACCCCGCCTCTCTAAGTACGGTACATACCCAAAGAAATACTAGAATCAGCACGAACCTTTTAGGGGAAGTGTTTCTTTTTCAACAAAAATCTATTCTTTAAGTGTTACGGAATATTCAGGTAAGCTATTTATAATTTATTTGGTATTTTCCACTTTTTTATCAAAAAATTGACTTGGAAATGTAGATGCTAAAAATTACACAGTACAACAAAGATGAAGTTTTCAAAAATCCCACCGGGTTTCTCAACGATTTCTAAAGCTTATGGATCCGCTAAATCCGAATTTTAAGTCAGAACTTTCGGGTCACCCTAGGTTTCCTCTAGAGTACGTGGTTTGTCCAGAAACCGGTATTTGTGGAAAACAAAATTTTTAAATTTTTAATTTTAAATTTTTTAAAATCTTTGAACAAGTGTAACTAAAGCTTTTTGTAGTCTCGGGTGTCTCTGTGGTGCAAAACATTGTGGTCTAAACCCATTTCATTTTTATACCCGAGCGCACTTGTGCGACAAGGGTTTTATAACTTTGTAAATAAATAAAAGAATCAAAAGATAAAGCGATTAAGCGATTAAGCCGTCACTGTATGTACATATGTCCGTCCCTCCGTCAGTCTGTGCACACGATAACTTGAGTACAAATTTAGACATCTTAACGAACTACCGCTATTGTCCCGCCAATTTTTTCAGAGTGAGAATTGTCAGCACCATTATCGAAAATATTCCAGTATTGTCACTATCGTTTTCCAAAATTGCTCACAGCTGCCTGCAAGCTTATATGAAATAGCAAAAATGTCGCCAACAACTCGGGCTCTGAAATTTTATAGAAAAATCGACAATTGTTGCAAATGTCACTTTTATGAAATAAGCCTCTGGACGAAGGAGGTTAGACTGCAACTAGGTATTGACGTCGGTGGGGAACCAATACCGACGGTAAATAACCCAAAATTCCTCGAAGTCACCTTCGACAGTCTGCTGTCCTTCTGGGCGCATACAACGGCAATCGCCAACAGAGTACAGAGCCGCAACAAGTCCTCACGTCGCTGGCCGGCAGCAAAGAAACGTTGCTAGCAACATACAAGGCAATTGGCCAGCCGGTTCTAAATTACGCAGCGCCCGTGGGGTCGCCGGGGACTAGCAGGACGCAGGAAGCTACAGCCATCTGATGTCGCCCCAACACCCCCTACACGACGAGGCACAGATGCTCCCCATCAAGGAGCATAACACAATGCTCTGCAAGCAGTTTCTAGTAGGGTTCCACCCGAGAATACAACCGCTTTCGGAAGAGCCCTCGCCAAAGTACGTCAGGGGGCTCCTGTACGAACTGACGGACGAAGACCAGAGCTTCATCAAACAACCTCTGGGCCCAACTGCATACAGACAGGTTCTGAATGGCATTCACAGGGAGTCGGTCTCGAGTTATATAGACTCTCGACCTGTGAATGCCATTCTGGACACACAACCACCTGACGTGGACGGGACAGAACTTTGTCTACCTCGGGAGACCCGCTTCACAATAGCCCAACTTCGCTCCGGCTATTGCAGCTGGCTAAACTCATACCTGAGCAGAATAAACGAGGCAGTGTCCAACCTGTGCCCGACATGCGGAGGGTCGCCACATGACTAACGGCACCTCTTCGCTCGCCCCAAAAACCCCCACCCAGCTAATGTCCCTGTCCCTATGGACAGATTGCGTTGAAATCGCGCACTTGCTGAGCCTCCCTTTAGCTGAAACAGACGACAATGTTGATGGATGAGCAGACCCGAACGGGGTTTAGTAGCCGCTACAAAAGAAAACACCTGAAAAACTGGCCCTAACTGTCCCTCAAAAAATAGTTAGATCTAATCTGGCCACAGCTACAATTTCTGCCAGTCGCGGTGTAGCCCTATTGTCGACGGAACAAGTATAAATAAAAAGTCTGTCGCTAGCCGTTTTTAAGTGTTTCAAGCATAATCGTTTTGGTTCGTAAAACAACAACCCTAATAGAACTGTAGATTTGTTTTATCATCATTTATAAATACGGCAACACCTCCAAAGTTTTTACAGCGCCACCTATTTTTAGAATTCTGAAATGGTGGCTGTCTTTAATATTTTTATCAACTGGATTATTGCATAGCTTATACCATGTTCTGACCGGCAACGAAAACACCTTGAAAACGAGTTTTGGGATTGTGGGCTGAAGGCTGTTCACACCGACTGTTGGTGTTTTCGTTGACATTTCATTCATCCTTTGTTTACAGTTTTGCTACACAAAAACAAAACCAAAATACTTTTCCTTCAATTTCTTTTCATTAAGAACCTTTTACTTCCATGCTTACTTTATTTTGGCCAGCCAATTAACAATAAATCCGAAATGACGTATTAAAGATGATAAAATATGACTTCCACTTCGATAAATAATCGAAAAAAACTAGTGCAGACACCGATTGGAATGAGTGGAACGTGAGTTTTCAAGTGGTTTTCAGCGAAAACTAGTTTTCGTTTGACAGATTTTACATGGACGAAAACACAAGTTTTAGGTCGAAACCCAGTTTTACCAACGAAAACATGTTTTCGATGTCGGTCAGAACATGGTATTACTACGAAAATGCAATTGCCAAACATTTTAGTGCAAGTTAGTCTGTGTTTATACCCGGAAACTTTTGACGATCCAATTTCCCAAATTCCCATTTGGTGTTGCTCGTTTCATTTACACACGGCGACTTTTTTGTATGCAATTGTTGTTGTCAGCTGTGAACCGCTAACTCAATTTACACATACGGACGAGGGCACAAAGCGTGTTGCCCGAGCACGAGCAACTAGGCGGCCCTCTCCTTCGCTCGTCACGCTCTGTTCAACAAACATCGTGTTGCCGCAACAAAATCGCGGTGTGTAAATGAGCACTTAACATGCAAGGGTATAAAACATGCTAGACTAACCCCACGTCTCCACCCTCTACAGATTCTGTTAAAAAAAGCTGAGGTAAGACAGCAATGTTAGGTGGAGACCGCAAATTTCCACTTTTAAACTACATGTCTTGCCGAATTCTTTACCATCGCTGTCATTTCGTAGTTTGACAACTCAGTTTTCATTTTTCCGCGCCATCTACATTGGGTACAGATCAATCTGATTGGCTGATACAAAGTGACATTTTAAGATAGCAAGTTGCCCACATGAGAAAACGGGACAAAGTTAAAACAGAAATTTGATAGATGTTAAGACACATTTAGTAGAAAATGGATACGTGGGGTGAAATCAAAAGAGTATGATATAAATTTATGCCAAATGTTTTCAGAGGTTTAAAAGACAAATTATTATTTAGCTAAGCAGTAATTGTTTCGCTGCAACTCCGAAAATTATATTTTAATTTTTCGCAATATAGACCCTTAAAATATTCAAAAATAATAATCCTAGCAGCTTAGTGGCAGCACCAGTTTTAAAATTAGGTTTTATTCACTAAGATCTGGCCACATTGTTTTTGGCATGAAAACATTTAATTCATTACAAGCGAAATGGTGTGCGATTGGAATTTGCGATTCAATTTAGGTAAATATTTAAGCCATTGTATTATTTTAGTACATAGTAAAAGTGGGAGATCAATTGCAGTAGGAAATTAAAAATATAATGGCTCTGCTAAGATTGAAGGATGTCTATAGTTTGTCCATTCTCTGCTTATTGCTGATAACTGTCAACAACGTATCTGCTGCGAATCAAACAATAAAGAAAGTTCTACCGCCTGATAGTGCGATGGCAGAAGGTAATATATTCCAAGAAACTGAATTATCAACTGTCGTCGTTGATAAGAACTCAAAGCAAGCAGTTGAAATGGCTGAAAAGACAACAGCAGCGAAGCAAAATGCAAACGAAGCAGCTGTCAACCAAGCTACTACAAAACGTACACATGCAGCGAACCAACAAAAGCAGTCACCCTACCTATCGGAGCAACGCACGATAAAACCTCTAGAGCATTGGGTGAATACGGTAGAAGAATCTCAACACAATTTAAAAGAGGTGCACCTCGACTATGATGATGAAGATTTGCCCGATTCATACATAACGGGATTCTATATATTCTTGGGGCTAAGTATTGGGGCCATGCTTTTTATTTTCATAAAAGTGTATAGGTAAGTGTCTAAACAAAGCTTAAATTCATACGCCAGTATATTTAAAGTATCGTGTTCACTTGATTTTTTATAGGCTCCGTTTATCACGTGCAGAACGCAAGTACGGTGTCCAAGGTGATCGTAGTACACAGGAGCTGGTCCCTTTGCCGGTTTCTATTGAAGATGGTGTTAGCGAAGATGAAGATCAAACCCTATTTGAAGTTAATCGCCAGCAAATTCGAATATTATGAGATTTGAAGATTCTCAAACTTTACCTACTGCATCTTATGTAGATCAAAATTCTTATCGAAATTTTGAATTCCCATGATATGTTACTGAACTTTCTTTATTTGATGATTATTTAATATGTTCTCAACGTAGAAATGAATATTATGTGAGACTTTATTTTCCATTTGATATAATCTACACGAAACAAATTTGTGATACTAATAAACTATTTATGAATTAATGTATGTATGCAATGAGTTTCAACAAAATATTAGATATGTATGTAGGTATCGTAACAATATAAAAAGTGCGCTATCCCAAAAAAGTAAGCTTGTATTATATTTTAAGTATTCGACATTTCTCCGGAATGTTTTTTTTTTGCAGATTCCATCAGTTCAATGTTGGTCATAACAAAATTCTAATCTCTTGTTTCCATAAAATTTGGAATTTTTACTTATGCTTTTTTGTATTGCAAATCGGGGCATTAACTGCAGTTGATCCGGATTAAGTCCGAGCTGTTCCATATAAACGCTGTTGTCTGTTTAAACTTTAACATCCGTTTACCTTGCCACATTAAAGTCCTTAACTCGTATTTGATTCACCCGTGGGGCTGTATTTCCTTTGTTCGGAGAAATCAAATATTAAAGAATTTAAAAACATTTATATTTTGTAAAAATTTAAACTAAAAAAGTTTTAAACAATTTTATTGGAAACAAAAAGATCCGGTAACGTGAAAAGAATTTCCAGTGCGTGGAAATCTTTTAGTGTTGCCAACTTCCCTCGAAGAAGTGTAAAAATTAGTAGCGAAATTTTGCGAAGACATTTTTTGCATTACGACCTTTAAAGCAATTACAAAAGCAAATTTTAACATTGACATCCTTTCGTTTTGAATGCCTTTTGCATTTGAATCGTTAGTTACAAAGATCATTTACCAGTACACTTTTTTTTTTGCTTCCCTCATTTGCCAAAAAAAGTAAGTTTTCCATCGACCGCCCATTTGCAAGAAGACTTTACTGTACTTCGACTTGCGTGATCGTTTGTCGTGTGTCATCGTTTTTTGAAGGCATAAGAAGTCATTTAATTTTTGTATACAAAGAGAATTATGCGTGCATTATTTCCACAACAAATTTACAAAATATTGAATCTAAATTATTAGTGCAGAAGGTAAAAAATTATTACTATGAAATTGTCTATAAAATTACGTTTGAGACTAGAAAAAAATCAAATTCATATTGCGTGTTCGTGCACGTAAATATGTAAGCTCGTGTATTTGTGGTTGCTTTTCATGGTTTCCTCGAGTTCATGCATTGTAATAAAAGATTATGGTGTGTAATATAATAGGCAGAAAGTAAATGTGATATCGTTAAAACTCATCATTTTTCCCAAAGCCAGCTAACTGCACCGAGGTCACAAAATTGTTGACCCCAGCAAAACTTGTGAACTTTTGTAATTGAAGTTGAAAAAAAATTAAATATTAAATTTGTTCAAAGTGTCTTGGGAAATCATTGCCTCCCTTTCTTAACACATCACTTCCTCATTCCATATAGAGTTGTCATCCATTAGTGCAAGTGAGGACAATATAGCTGATGCCAAGTAGCGTTAATTAATTTGGAAAGTTGGAAGACTTGCCAGATGTTTTTGTGTACACTATAGTGAAGAAAAATCAATCTTTCGAGGCTAAAAATATAAATCTTGTATTTTTGTAAGATTTTAGATAAAATTTAAGGAAGTAGATAATTATCATACAAATAGCAGGTGTTACCGGAACCTTAGTTGTAACGGAACAGGTGGTGGTTATGATAAGGGGAATGGAGTAAAAGGAAAATTTTGCGTTTATATTTGCTTGCCTATACGAAAAACGCAGAAAGTTAAACAAAGGGTCAAATTGTTTGTCAGATGATAGCGCAGTTGTTACTTTATTAGGTAAATGAAAACCTTGAATTAGTTGTTAGCATTTATGTACATGTATATATATATTCGCAAGCCTATTTACTTAATTATATATATACACACATGTATTGGCATATGCGTTTTGTAATAACTGGCTTCAGGTTTTGTTAATTTTCTTTGCATAAACAGGAAATTCTAAATCACAAACTAAACAAAAATAAAGAGGACTAAGCCCCGAAAAAGACAAGCGAGCGAGCCACAAGCAGCGTTATTGCCTCATTCTGCGACGTTTCCACGCATCGCTTCTTGCGCCACATCACCCATAGCCAAGAAAATGCAACGCCCCAATGCCGTAGTGAGACCAACAAGTCTCGATGAAATCTGGAACGACCTGGAGGATGGTATCAAACAGGTGTTTCAGCCAGAAAAGTCGAATTTATCGACCGATCGGTATATGCACTTGTACACATACGTTTATAACTATTGCACAAGTGTGAATACTGTTCAACGTTCGATGGCTCGTGCAGGTGGAGCACAGCTCGTTGGCAAGAAGTTATACGACCGTCTCAAAGAGTTCCTGAAAACTTATTTAACCGGATTACAGAAGGCGTTTGATAATATTGAGGGCGAAGAAATACTGTTGACACATTACACCAAACAATGGGAATCATATCAGTTCTCAAGCAAAGTTTTAAACGGTATTTGCAGTTATTTGAATCGACACTGGGTGAAGCGAGAATGCGAGGAGGGCCAAAAAGGTATTTATGATGTCTATCGACTAGCTTTGGTCACGTGGAAGGAAAATCTATTCAGAACGCTGAATGAATCAGTTACAAACGCTGTACTGCGATCGATTGAAGAGGAACGTAATTCCCAAACCATAAACCGCCACCTCATAAAGAGTGTCATAAATTCTTATGTGGAGCTGGGCTTCAACGAGGAGGAATCAGATTCTGATAATTCCAAGAAACTATCTGTTTACAGGGACCACTTTGAGAATAAATTTATTAAGAAAACTGCAGAGTTTTACAAGAAACAATCCGAAGTATATTTGAGTAGCTATTCGGTGTCTGATTACTTGAAGCATGTGGAGGATCGCCTTGACGAGGAAAGCAAACGAGTGAATCGTGACGAGTTTTCATATCTACATGAGAGCACACATAATATCCTTATCAAGACTTGTGAGCAGGTATGATGTGTAATATATGTAAATTATTACTACATAGTATTTGTATAGTTGTAAATACAATATTTTATATTTTATAAAATTCCTACCAACAGGCATTGATTGAAAAGCACCTTGAGCGGTTCCGCGCCGAGTTTCAGAAATTTCTTAATGACAATAAGAATGATGATCTAAAACGCATGTACAGCTTAGTTGCACGTAATCCCGAAAATTTAACCGAACTGAAGCGTATACTTGGTGATCATATATTAGAGCAAGGCACTGAAGCCATAAAGAAAGCTGGTGCCGAAGCAGCCAACGATCCTAAGTTGTACGTGCAAACCATATTGGAAGTCCATAAGAAATACCATGGTCTTGTTGTTGTAGCCTTTAACAACGACAACGGTTTTGTGGCAGCACTTGACAAGGCATGTGAGAAATTCATCAACTTGAACGAAGTGACGCAGGCAAATAGTGCCAACAAATCGCCAGAATTGCTTGCCAAATACTGTGATTTGTTGCTGAAGAAATCTTCTAAGAATCCCGAAGACAAGGAACTCGAAGATAATCTGAACCAAGTAATGGTTGTTTTCAAATACATTGAGGATAAGGATGTTTTCCAAAAGTTCTACTCGAAAATGCTTGCCAAGCGCCTCGTATATCACACATCTGCTTCTGATGATGCCGAGGCGATAATGATTTCCAAATTAAAACAAACTTGCGGTTATGAATACACGATCAAATTGCAACGCATGTTCCAAGACATTGGTTTGTCTAAGGATTTGAATGCGAGCTTCAAACAACATTTAGTAAATGCAAGAATACCGCAAGAAATAGATTTTAGCATTGAAGTATTGTCGTCGGGGTCATGGCCGTTTAACCAGAGCACCACATTTTTATTGCCCTCCGAATTGGAGCGTTCTGTACAGCAATTTAATGAATTCTATGCAAATCGGCACTCCGGCCGCAAACTGAATTGGCTGTATAATCTGTGCAAAGGTGATTTGGTGACCAATTGCTTCCGCAATCGGTACACACTGCAGGCGAGCACATTCCAAATGGCTGTGCTTCTACAATTCAATGACCAAACTAAATTCACTCTGCAGCAGTTGCAAGAAAATACCCAAATCAGCTTAGAAAATCTTAAACAGGTATTCTTAAAAACGACGCAATTAATAATTCTTTGAAAATTTTATTTATTTTCATTTCAAAACGATTCACAGGTGCTACAGATCTTAATGAAAGCCAAGCTGCTGGTTTGCGCTGACGATGAGAATTCGCTCAATCCCAACTCTGTGATGGAGCTATTCTTGGATTATAAAAACAAGAAGCTTCGCATTAACATCAACCAACCGCTAAAGACTGAGCTCAAAGTGGAGCAAGAAGCAGTTCATAAGCATATTGAAGAGGATCGCAAACTGCTTATACAAGCCGCCATTGTACGAATAATGAAGATGCGAAAGAAGCTTAACCACACACAGCTTATAACTGAAGTACTCAACCAATTGGCGTCGCGCTTCAAACCTAAGGTGCAGGTGATCAAAAAATGCATTGATATTCTAATCGAAAAGGAGTATCTGGAGCGTATGGAGGGACAAAAGGATACCTATAGTTATTTGGCATAAATGTTTTATTCAAATGAACGAGGTCCACTTCACTCAACAACCACCACGGTTGCGCATAAAAACAAATCGTGCAGGGGCGATAAGAACTATTTCATATTTCAATTTTTTGTTAAATTAGCATTTTATCCAATTTCAAACTTCATGAAACGCATATTACATTCAAAAATAAATACAAATAAGTTAACTAATTGATCACATGAAATACATAGTTATTGATAAAACTAATTATATTCAGTCTAAATTTTAGACGCTTAACAAAAAAAAAAAACTCATGCTCATGTGGTCATTCAGTTTATTTCGAAACTAGATTACTATATGTTTTTAATCATTGAATTCATCTGATATGTAATGCAAATAAAGTAAGAAGTAATTTTCAATGAAAATTTATTATGTGGGGCAAGTATGTAGAGCTGTGACTTATAACTGGCACTTTAGCAACATTCCCCAAAAGAGTTCGAAGAATTTGTATGCTGTTACAACAACAATAGGCAAATATTGGAAGCTTTAAACTATAATTAATGGAAAGGACTTATTTGCGCAACTAAGTTCCAATTCAGCATTTAGCCTGGGTTGTACATATTGGATATTTCCATAAATTATAGTTTAGAATAGCGTAGTTCCGCCTTAATTGAGAGTATTTCCATTGTGTTGCCATATGTAATCTTCGTTCCCCCACGGTGTTGCGACGCTGACTCGAGGTCAAACTATATTGTTGACGTAGTTAACATTCTTTGTGCTATAATGTTAATTTTCGCTATCTACGCAAGATCTTGTAGATATGGATCTTAAAGCGTATGTAATCGTCTTCTGCCGGGCAGTAGCAGATGAGTTTCTATACACTATCCTCTTCGTCGCATTTACTCCTAAATCTCAAAACATGTACGCCGATTAGACAGACCTATAGGAATCCGTAAGAGAATGGATACCTTGTCCTGTTGTAGTATCAAGAGTACAGATGTGCAATTTTTAATCGTAAACGAACTATGCAAGCCTACCGAAGCATCCAACAGAAGGGAGGTCTTCCCAGCTTCGTTTGCTACTTGCATGATGATGTAGTCTGTAGCCTGTAGTTTAAAGGTGGCCATTGGTACACCTACAATGTCCTTATCCGGAAGGAGGCGGCAGTCGTAGCGCTTCTCGGCGATTCGTCAGCTTCGCAGTTACCCTCAATTTCCGGCTTAGTTTAGAGCAAGCTTCTGTACTCTAAACCTTTTCAAAGGGGCTACAAATAAAATAGTCACGTTTGAAAAACCTACGGCGGCATGGGAATATTTAATGATAAACAATATTTAATGTGTTTTAAGTATAACCTCCAAATTTGTTTTTACTAACTGCTGTTCTACAACAATACTGAGCTTTATTTTTGTTTTATTTTCCGGTTGTCCAGTATGTTAGTACAAACATACCTTACAAATTACTCGTAAATTTTATATCTAAATTGAAACAAAATTGTATATCTAAGTTTTAAGAAAGTTCAGAGCGATAAATATGCATATTTGCATAAAAATTAGCATGAAAGTATATGGCTAAGTGTAATAATTTAGCTTGGTAAGATTTATGGCAATCAACAGTTTTGTATAATATTGCGATTTAAAGTCACGATTTACGTCACCACATTTTAGGATTTTGTGAATATTCTTCTCGCATGAAAACATTACTCTTTCCGCTTTCTTCGTAAATGAAACAAAAAAATACATTAACAACTTCTTGGACAAAAAACAACTGAATACAAAAAATAAAACATATTTCTGTGGTCATAACCAATAACCGCCTAAGTCGACTTAAGAAAGAATTGAGTTATATATGCTATCGTATTTTGCAACTACTATTCCATGTGTATGGGATACTCCCATCTCGTTACCTAGGCTATTTAAAAAGTTATAGATGAAAATATTTTGTTTTCCCCATAAGATTAACATTACAATGCAAATATTGAATGCATTTTTACTCGAATTCAGGTTTTTCGACTAAGGCGATTATAGCTTATGGCCACAGATTTATAAACATATTATCGCTTCTGAAATATATTAATGTTTTATACATATGTATTTACAACAATTTCAAAATACGTTATTAGTAAAAAATTAGAAAATACTTGGATGAACTAAACATTTAACTATTCATATAAAATGTGCACATGTATGTATGTAGGCATTTGGAGAAGGGTTGAAAATCTATTTAGCTTGTTTTAACCGCCGGCATACTTAATACACTATGCATCTGAGGTAACAGTCTCATCATCCTGCATAACTTATATTTAGTAATTAATTCTGGTACATATACATATATAAAAATAAAATTTATCTTCAACACAAGACTAGTTAGTCTTCATCATCCAGCTTAATGGTTTTCGTTTGAAAACGCATTCTTTTCGTGTTTTTTATTATACCATTTGTTAGCAGATTCTTACCTTCCTTATTGCATGGAATATTATTCCATAGTCTTTTGAGACGTACTACCGCTATTGCATTAAAATCTAAATTCTTACTGCTGACACTATCTATTTTTGTCAATATGATTTTGGGCACTTTGGAAAAACACGCATTCATGGCAGGACCTTCAGGCACGGCTAATGATGTACAACCACGTTTTTGCATTGTGTCTTTAGTTTTTGGCGTCGAACATTGTGATGCTACCGACTCGGTGGACTCCGGCTTTCTCCTGTTGAAAAAGAAATTTAGAATGGGTTCTAAACAATATTCAAAGTACAAAATTTACATTTTTGAATAGTAATATTTGTTGATTGTGGGCGGTGGGGCAGCGCAAATTTTTCCAGGTTCTTCTGGGTGACAACCGTAATCAATACCTTTGAGCCAGTTTTCGTAGCGTTCGGGCTGGAAGCGTTGGACAAATGTTTCCATTGATATTTTAACCATATCTTTTCGGCAGTTACATATGCTGGAACGCTTGCCATATTCAATCCAACGTTTCGACGCAAAATTTGTTGACTCTGCGCCATTAAAACCATGATTGAAACCGGCATGGTAACCGAAGGGAAATGTTATCATAATTTCGCCTGCTTCCTGGGTAACCTTATTAAATGGTATTTTATGTTGACGCAATACTTGTGGACTAATTAGCGTCATCTTATGGCGCAAAAAGGCGTTGCAGTTTTGATAGTTTTCGTAAAAAAGGCGGTTCGCTAACGTTTCTAAACGTCTACCGTATGCGGGTGGAATGGCGTACCAAGTTTTCGGTGCACCAAAGTGGAGGTAGTTTATGGAATACAAGTCCATATCTTCTGTGTGCCAAGCAAAAGAGCTCTTCCACATACCAAAATATAAATAAGCTGTATTTACGCCGTCGATTTCAATGCCATAATCCTTATTTACATAGTTTAATATGGTATCAAGGCAATTGATATTCCAAATACGCAAATCGGGATCACTCAGGGAACCCTTTACGTCTGCTGCATAGAAAGGTGCAATGTATGTCACATTTTTCCAATACTTTCGTTCTAAATCATCGTAGTCGAAATGTCGTGGAGTTTGGTAACGCTCCGACTCTGCCATTTCTTTGAACTGCCGCAGCGTCATAGAACGCTTTTGAACATTTATTTGCTGATATTCACCCTGTTTGCCTTATAATGGATAAACAATTGCTAAGCTGACGGCAATAAACAAAGAATTTGAAATGAAGAATGATGCATACCTGATACCACTTGGCAGATGGGCGCTGGTATTGTCATATTAATATTATCTATGTGGTATCCAGATTTGCGTGGCACCCATTCCGGCGGTGGTATAACCTTCGCTAAGCCAGCCAAATTAGCGCCACGTCGTTCCATGTATTCGACATAGGAAGAAAAATTCTTGAATTCCTCATAGCTAGGCCGGAAGGTCATGATCCTAGGTATCTTATTGCGCTCATTTTCATTGTAGCCCGAGTTAATGGACATTATAATTTTGGAATAGCGCTGACACAATTATGAAGTGTTGAAAATATTTTTAAAATAATAACATAAAACGCAGAACTTAATTATATTTTCTGTTTTACAAAACTTGGTTGAAAATTTACAAACAGTAAATACATAATCAGCTGTTAGGAGCAGCGTTGCATTTTCTTTCTTGTCGAATGGGGCAATTTGGTCACGCAGACAGTACTAGGCACAAAATGATCAAATCGCACACGATCTTCAAAAGTGACACAACTCAAAATTTGGCATTTTGGAAATTATGCGCTAAAGATGTACGCAGAGCGTTTATTTATCTTTGAGCAAAACCTGGATTAAATTTTTGTTACAATTTATTGAAAAAAACCTATAGTAAAGTCTCTCTTGCCCATTTGATTAGCATGTGCTACGAAACAGTTGTTCGCATTTTCTGATGAACCCGTTATTTTGAGTGGTGTCACTTTTGAAGATGTTGTGCGATATATCCTTTTGAAAGCCTATTGTTACTAACTAAATTACAAATCAAATTACAGTTCAACTAACTTTATTGAGCAACAAACCCTTTAGAATACTTGTTAAGGCCTTTTATACCTATATTCTGTTTTAGAACTGAACTTGTAGCTTGCTGATTCGCAACCGAACTTTCTGTGCGCTGTAGCAACGCCATGTACCAAAAATACAAGATCACGCACTCTTCTTAGTAGCCCGTTATAATTGCACTTAGAAAAAAAGTAAGGCGATTTTGACACTAGCTGTTTATTTGTTCGTTGTTTACAATTCATTGAATTTGACGTTTCTCGACGTTAAAGCTTTTACATATTTTATCGCACATGTTGTCATTCTCTTGTTCGCTTTAGCCTGTCATTGGTGTTTTGCAGTATTCGCCACACTGTCCTTCATCTAAGTGCTGTTTTAAGCGCTGCAAGTCTCTCCAAGTGGAGCACTTTCATCTTGATGCTCGGGCAACGGTCTGGATTCGATACACCACATCATTCAGCAGTTTGACAACCTCATATGGACCATAATAGTTGCACTGCAATTTTGGGGAAAAACTTTTCTTTCGTTCTGGATTGTACAGCAACACTAAATATCCTTCCTGGAAACCCTCGGAGATCCCCGCCTTATCAACCGGGTTGTCACTTATAATTTGAGTAGGTTGACCCAACCAATTGTAGGTGAATACCTCCGCTACTCTTGTAGATTTCTGGCCTTTTGCTAAAGTAGTCCATAACCAGAAGGACGTATTTGTTTCCCCAATATGTTCATAGGAAATGGACCGGCTACACCCGAGGCAATCCGCTCGAATCGTGCGCCTGAGTTATATTGCCTCATGTGTCAATGACTTCTGGACTTCGTCCCTTTAGCTTCAATACACTCCAGGCAGTTAGCAATTTACTCTGCGAGGGATTGCCGACAACCAACCCCATAGAAGGGCTGCTGGATTCTCCAGATTCTTCATGATTCCCAAGTGCCCTCTACCGCGTCCATTGTAGAGTTCTTGAGTACGTCCGGAATTGACACCCTTGGAACTACTATAAGATTGCGGGAGCACTGACCTTCTTCGTTTTCCCATGATCGACGGGACATGACATCAGCATTTCCCGTCGATGTTTCCATCGTGGTGCTTAAGAGCAAAGTCATAGCTTTTCAGTCTCTCTATCTACCAATACAGCTGTTCTTCTGTGTTCTTGAACTGTAGTAGCCATTTTAGTGCAGCAAGATCCGTTCGAATACGGAAACGTTGTCCATAGAGATACTTGTGAAAATGTTTGATGCACTCCCCCAACGCTGGTAGTTCCCTCCGAGTTACGCAGTAGTTCCCATCTGGTTTTCCAATGTACGAGCTCTAGAAGGAAACCACCTTCTCTTGCGGCAATACGCCTCCTATGGCATAACATTAGCATCCGTATTCAAAATAAGCGTTTCACCTGGAACCGGGAACGCTAGCACAGGTATAGAACATAGCCGTTTCTTCAAAGCCTAGAAAGCCTCCTGCTGCTCTTTGCTCTACTTGAAGGCTCTACTTTTCCTAGTCGGCTCCTGGAGGCTATTAGCACCTCTTGCATAATCCAAAGGACATCATTTCTTTTATAGTCTGGCTTGATGAGCTTGACGGATCGGATGTCTTGGCTCACTTGGCTCCAATTATGACCTCATCCGCAGTTTCCGCCACTATAAACTTACGTTCCCAAATGCAATTTCACATGTTACTTCACCTAAAACTTGGTTGTCTTCAGCAGTTTCTGTCCTCAACTTTGCTCCAGAGAATGGCCTTACCTAATTAGTGACCAAATCAAATGGAATAATGGAATGCGATGCGCCCAATTTTTTCTGTAGCAGCCTTTTCGAAACGGAGCTTAAAGACCTGGAAAGGAATTGTGCCGTCAAATTTGAGAGTCTTTACCCTAGGAGCATTGGTCGAAGTGGCTGGACGATTCAACTGCAATTCTCGGAGACGATCTTCAACTCATCCAGCTTAGGTTCGACTTTGTCCTGTTTCTCCTTAATTAGCGCTTCGGTTTTATCCTGCCTTCTCCCAAAGCTGTGTGATCTTTTCAGCCAGCTGCGATGAGATGTATGTTTTCTTTGCTTCCACCTGGGATAGATTTGTGATGACATCTCAGACACGCGTGTATTCTGTGCTTCCTGCAGTGATGACAACTGCACTGAAATCTGTGAGTACATCTCGGTATCAAGCGAAGAAATTACAGCCAGTATCATGCTCATGTCCATACTTGTAGATGAACAAGGAGGCTTTTCTTCAACTTGCGTAGATGTTTGCTGCATATGAAAGTCGTACTTGTCCATGTCGATTCCTTCTGCAGCCGTGATTGTAGCTCCACCTTGTTTCCGGTCGTGGATAATCCTCGCTTTACTTATTTCTTTTTGAGAGGTAATATCGTCAAATCATAGAACTTCATCATTTCCAAAACTTCCTTCTAAGGATTTATTTCCCAGTTATGGCACCAGTTGTTACGATTATCCTTGTATATTCGACGGATTTCCTAAATCCTTCAAGTTCTTTCATTGGATTGTTAAATAATCGTTCAAGTTACAGTACAAATAATTAATAATACTTGTTAAGGCAATTCTGTATTTACAACAAGACAATTGATCTCTGTACTCAGTTTTAAAACTGAACTTATAACTTTCTGATTCGCAACTGAACTTTCTGTGCGCTGCAGCAACGCCCTTATATACCTGCGCTCGCACTTATGGCAACCCTAGAAGGTTCTTATCGAAAGTTATCGAACATTGAATTTACGTTTCTCGATGCCTACACCTTCTATAAAACATCCTGTCATTGTTGTTCGGTTTTGCCTGCCATTCGTGTTTTGCAGTATTCGCTACAATATGTACATACATACATAGTTAGAGAGGTATTATTATTATTATAGAGACATGCCATTTTCAGAAGGTGTCAACTCCAATCAAAAATATTTTCAAACAAGAAGCTTTCTTAAAACTCTTTCATTTGACACTCATATTTTAGCAATTCATACCACTTGTGTATAAGTTAACTAAATTCGACTTTTCAAACAGGTGGCAACCCTCTTCCAAAGAATTTTCAAACTAAAAACTTCTTAAATCTCTTTCGTCTGACATCGTGATACATAGCACATCTACAGCAAAAGCCCTTTAATAGAGTGGTCCAAAAAAAAATCCGAGATAGGGTTTGGGGTACCTTCCAAAATATTTTTCCTCTTGCCGTAAGAGGTGCTGGTACCAAACCTTACGTTTCTAAGTATAAATTTAGAGGATGCTCACGATACTCATATTTTACTCGAGAAGTAACATACCGCACACCGTCTTCAAAACAGGCACAACTCAAAGTTACACTGTTTTCAGAAAATGCTAAAAACATTTCTTAGCATCTAGTAATCATACGAACAAGGGAAACTTTACGATATATACATCAAACAATAGGTTAAGCCGCTGTGGTGTAGTGGTAAGCAGTGCGCGCTTTCACTCATCAGCACCAGGGTTCAAGCCCTGGTCAAAGCAACATCGCAAAAAAAAAAATAGAAAAAAGGTTTTTTCTTGACAGCGTTCGTCCCTCGGCAGGCAATGGCAAACCTCCGAGTTTATTTCTGCCATGAAAAACAGCTTCTCATAAAAATACAATCGCCGTTCGGAGTCGGCGTAAAACTGTGTGACAACATCAAGGCGCACGCCACAAATCGGAGGAGAAGCTCGGCCAAACACTAACAATATGTGTAAAAAAATAGGTTAAGCAACCTAAGAACTTTTCACATTTAAGTTCTCTAAAAAAAATATCACAAGCTTCAGTTTTCATGGCAACAGTAGCTATTTATAAAAATCACCAATATTTTTTTCCAGTTTCACAGCGATCCATTAGCGCATATCAAAGTCATTAAGCACCCTGTATTGGTTACAGTAGAAAAGTGAAAGTTGGTGTGTAGGCATTACAAATATCATAAGGAAAAAACTAAGGTGGTGCCTCGTTTCCCAGGATGACATTTTTTTCCCCATACAAAAATTGGACCACTCTACCCTTTAATTTGATACCTCATTTTTGAAAATCGTACGAACGGTGCATATCTGATGACCCGTACATAAGATTCCTTCGCGTATTATACATACATGAATATAGATTTTAGATGGTCACCCTGATCATGTTGATGGTTTGAAGCTCGAGGAGATTTGATCTCCTCGACCTGTTCTAGGAATTCCCCAAACTCAATTTGCTGTATGGGTTCGAATTTAACACCTCTCGGATAATGTAACGCTGGCATTTTACGTAGTCGGACAGGTATGCGCTGGTTCAATTAAAGTCTCCTCAACTCAATGCCGGTGATTGCTTTGTGCTATGTAAAATATAATCTGGCAACACGCCTCCGACGCACACCCTCAAAGATACGATTTAACGGTATAACTTAATCAGTATGTTACGTTACACTTAAGATATACAATACATACTGCAAGTATAAGTGCACAGGTAATAAATACATACAAACAAACATACATATACATATGTATATAACAGAATGGATATTATAAATGAAGTCAAGTACATGGTTAGAATTTTAGTCCGTCAGTGGCGGCCTCCGATTAGGGACGTATTTAACAGATTTTACAGATTCATCAGCTAAAGTGATAACAGCTCGCGTAATAGTTAACTGGAATTTTATCGCGTTATCGGCAGTTCGTGTGTGTAAACTTAAATATTTGAAGATTCCATAGTAAAAATTATATGGCTAAATAAAAATCCTGACAAATATAGACAGTGCAAATATAGTAAAAAAAAAAGTGCGCAAAGATAATGGATTTTAAGAAATCAATGGACATCCAAAAAACCGCCAACATGTATGAAAAACGTAAGAAGGCTTAAATGTTTTAAAAAATATGCAGAAGTATATTCTTAACAACTCATAAGAATTTTTTATGAAAATAATTATTAACAAGTGCGTTGAGTTTCGTGATTGCAAGGAGGCACAAAAAAGATACATACATACATTTGTATGTACGTACATATCTCTTTATCTACCTAATTATTAAATAAACTCGTTTTTAATAAGAACCAGAAAATAAAACAATTGAGGTGCGAAGCACTTGAAAGATAAAGATTGTTTGAGTTAGCCTAAATTATTAGTACATTTGCACATACAATCTTAATTTGGACAGAAATGTGATAACGTTTGAATGCCAGTATGACAATATGATAAATTATTATCTGTTATGAATGTAATTTGATATCACAGCGTTTTAAATTAATCATTACTCAACTGCAATAATTTTCTCAAATTCTTCTTATTCTTCTTCTTTTTTGGCGCTGTAACCGCCTAGGCGATTTTGGCCAAGTCCAAAACAGTACGCCCCAGTCATTTCTCTTCTGTGCCAACTGACGCCAATTGGAAATGCCATGTGAAGCCAAGTCCTTCTCCAACTGGCCTTAATTCTTAATTGGCAAAATTTATTTGCATGCGAACCTTCAAAAAAGCGATGGGGGATAAAGGATGTATTGATGATTCTAGAGTGAAACAGATTTACATAGAAAGAAAGTAACACCAAATTTTGTATTTATTATTTTTTTATTTAAATTTTTATTTATAATACCATAAACCCCAAGAGTACAACTTCACAACAAGCTTTTCAGGCGTTTGGCGCTTTTCCGACTTTCAGCTACACAATTCAGCTATGGCTGAATCAGATACTTTTTTTCTTGGCCTCTAAATTTTCACAATTATAGGGTTTTAACGTCCTCATACACGTAAACCATAATATTTAAGTATATTTTTGAGGTCCCCATAATTATCTTTATAAAAGTACAGCAGTACATATTGCCAGGGATGGAATTATATTTAAAAAAAAAATTTTAAATTACATATCGTTACCTTAATTCACAAAGGCCCTAACCAACACTTTTTTTTTGAAACTGCGTTTTTCACAGATTTTGGTAGGATATATTAAAATACACCTTCAATAAAAATTTTAAAGTGTTACAACCAATTTCACGAAAGCAATTTAAGTGAAAAATGATTTTAATTGTTTGCATTTTATATGGAAATTGACAGAAAATAAAAAAATCATTTTCCATTTAAATTGCTGGTGAAACCGGCTGTTAGTGCCAAAAACAACGGAGTTTTTTGCTATAAATTGAAGCTTGGTTCTTGAAAAAGGGTCGGCAATCCCCTTTGGAATATTTTAAGACTATTTGCTAGGGATGTGAAATCTGACTTGTGGCGCTCTGAAGGTTGTGGAACCGCCGCCATTTTCAAAACAAGGGTGGTAACGGTTTTTTTCTAACTCAGTCAACCATTTTACGGTCAAAAGCCAAAGGATATTCAATCCTTAGTACGTGTTGGTCAAATTCAGGCGGATTTTGTTCCATGTCTGCACCCCTTTTTACAGAAAGTTAAAGTTTCCGCTAAAAAAAATATTAAATTATTTTCACATTCGGTGGCACCTATTAAAAATTTAACTCAACTTTTATAGAACATTTAAACTCTGCCTTCAAGAACATGGTCAAGAACCCCGAGTTAGCGATTTAAGTTTTCTTTTTTAACCAACTTGAAAAAAAGAGAAGGTTATCAATTCGCCGGAATATTTTTTATGTATGTTACCGCATAACTTTAGACCACGTGAACGTTTATTATTTATTGCAACATTGTTTTTGGATGATTTGACAAAATGAATTGCTAACATTTGTACAGTGCTGGGAACAAAGTTTTACCTACTAATAAGAACCTTCATGGGCGCTTTCATCCAAAGCAAACGAATTTCTATAAAAAAATAAACATACACCTTTGATGCAAACGAAATCATAGGAACAAATAGATTTCGTTTAAAACTTTCAAGTGGCTTTCTAATTAAACTTACTAAATAAGACCATCGAGCACTATATTTTACTGTTAACTTTGCAAAGTGGGCTATTATAGATAAAGGGTAAAGAAATTAAAACGGCATTTTTGCCTCCTCTCACGAGAACTCGCGAGGGACGTATGCGGGGTATTGCGCCAAAATAAAATACGAGTACGCAAGTTAAAGTAGGCAAACAAACTTCAAACCAGTTTATCAAGAGCCGTTCATCTCAAATTGAAACATTTCATAGACAAAAACTCTTATGATTAACAAGTATCACAAAATATATATCGAGCCCTAACCGTCAAAATGACGTAAACGACATTTTTTTCAAAATTTTATTTTTGATGCAGAGCTTCTAGATACATTTCTGCATCAAAAAGAAAATTAAAAAAAAAAATGGCGGTTACGATATTTTGGCGCTTAGGGCTCGATATGTACAAGTACATATCGATGATTCTCTGCCATAACGGCACAACTCAAAACTAACCAAAAACCCTTACTACTGTTATATGGCTCAAGTCTCCAATCGTTGTCTAATCCTTCCTAAGGTAAGTAGTAGGATTAGAGACATGGCGCCCTTCATTGTTATAAGCGTTTTGTTTTCTTGAGTTTTAAATAAATAAATAAATAATAAAAAAGCATCCTTAGCGAGAGTTTGATGGTTTTTGGTGAACTTTGATTTACTGATATTAGGGTGGTACGTTAGGGCCGTAGGAATTGAGATCTGGTGGGTAGGTACTTGAGATCAATGATATTTGAAACCAAAAAAATGTGTGATCATTTTTTTTTTTTTTTTAATTTTTTGCCAGTGGATTATCCTAAACCCTTAAAAAATTAAAATAATACTCTTCTAATCGCAATTCTAGATAATAATGTTTATCTTTTTTTCATACAAAAAACAATAATCGCAGGTATATTTCAAATCTCTCTCCAACTCCGACATTCCAAGCGTTACTATTTTCTCATTCGGAAGAAAACGGTGCGTACCACGTAACGCTTGGAATGCCGGATATTTACATCGGCGGTAAAAAACGAGCCCCTTAATCGTGCAGGAGCAGATCACGGTCGGTAAATAGTCTTCGAGTATTGGGACACACGCCACTGTTGGCAGCCATAACTTTGAAGTAGTGAAGGACTTTGTTTACTTAGGATCCATCAATAAGGTCAGTCTGGAGAAAAAGTGAAAAATAACTCTTGCCAACAGGTGCTACTTTGAGCTCGGTAGGCTATTTAACAGCAGAGCACTCTCTGTACGAACAAAAATCACGCTCTACATATCTCTCATCTTCCCCGTCCTTTTATATGGTGCTCCATGGACAATGTCTAACAAAGATGAGAAGGCTTGAACAAATGAAGTACCAAAGAATAAACATAAGATGTTTTTTATGACAAAGATATATGTATGAGCGTTCCAACTCATTAAGAATCAAATACTTAGTAGCCCAATATCTCGAAAAAATGGCGCGGTAGAAAAAAACTGAGAATGCAGTTTATCTACATCTGAAAACTACTTCTTCTTCTTCTTATTTGCTGCTGTAACCGCCTACGCGATTATGGCGGAGTTCAACAAAGAACGCCAGTCGTTTCTCTTCTGTTCCAACGAACGCCAATTGAAAATGCCAAGTGATGGGAAGTCCTTCTGCACTTGGTCTTCCCATCGCAGTTGGGGCTTCCCTCTTCCTTTATTACCCTCAGCGGGTTCCGGGTCGAATACTTTCAGAGCTGAAACGTCGGTGTCCATGCGAACGACACGACCAAGCCAGCGGAGCCGCTGTATTTTAATTCGCTGTACTACTATGTCCATGGCGTGGTAAAGCTCATACAGCTCATCCCCTGCAGTGAAATCCCAAACTAGTCAGGAAAAATACTAGTTTACAACTAGAATTCCCTGACAGAAACCGAACTAGTTCGAAAACGACCAGACTTGTACCAAGTACAAACCATTTATTCATGCCCTGTTTTATTTGACTTCGACAGTTTAATACGATAAAGTACACAAAATATTCACCCCTATTGTGGTTGTCGTAAGTCGTTCGCATCGACAGTCGTTCGCTGAATTATGTCGTAAATAAAAAAATTAACGGCAGATTTTAACACGTTTTCAATACTTCTTCATTTCGAAGGGATAATAGGAATAAAAATTTGCAGTCGATTATGTCACTGGTTGCCTCACAACGCCAATCAAAATCTCAAATTTCGACGAACGACTGTCGTTTCGACAATGGGAATAGGGCCGATTATAACTTTTATTTGGGTATATTGTAAACCATTAAATTGAGTACGTATTCGATTATACCAGGCCTGTTATATAATGATTAATATTCATAATGACTATTAATTAAAGCATGTTTTTTTTGATAACCGTTTAGTTGATTAAATACCGATATTACCACCTTTTTAATGATTAATAATTAATTACTTAAAAAAAGTTAATTAATTCTTTAATTTTAATTACGTCATAATTTTGTTATTTTTGATCATTTTCAATTAAATTCGACTTTTTTTTAATTACACGATATAATTATTTGCTTAACTTCTATTATCAATCAACAATCCAAACTATAGACAAAATTTAAATTTATTTTATTTTTATCCAAATCTCAAATTTTAAACATTAATTGTTACTCTTATAAATTTTTAAAAAGAATAAACTGAAATGTGCAAAGTTAATGAAATTAAATTAATTTAATACTAAATAAAATAAATAAAATAAAAAAATAATTTATAATTTATTTTATTAGTGAAGTATTAACTGACGTATTAATTTTATTTTTAACTAAAATTTTTTCCTTTGCAGATTCAATATTATTAAAAAAGATAAATATATGGTATTTATTGTTCCTGAAACCTTTTACTTTTTATAAGAAATGCATTTAAATTTATGTTCGAAAGTTGGAAATATTTATGTATTTAGTTTTGCTTTTAATTAATAGTCAAAAAAATTTACACCAATTATTGGAACATCTGAGGCTGCTAAATAACAATGTGTGATATATTAAAGTGTACTTAATCAAAAGTTTTTTATAGTATATTCATGAATTCATTTTATTTTTTGACTCCCAAAATAGTGGTTTTGGTCCATAATTGGACTAGTATTTCTCTGTCTATTTTGAACTAGTATGAGACTGGTATATTTCTGACCGAAATCTGATAATTGCCATCTCGTAGGAAATCCCCATGTTAAAAATACCAGTTGGTTGCATGGAAAAAAGATAGTTGGCTGACTAGTTGGGCATGTGGTTCATACTAGTTGTGAAGTAGTTTACAACTAGTACATTTGACTACAGGTTCGTTCCGTCGTCTGCGGTACGAAGACTACTTCAGTCATAAAAAAATTACGTATGTACAGAGTAATTTAAGTATGTACACCGGTATGTGGGTAAAAAAATACTGTATGAACAAAAAATACTAACTCATTTTGAGCCACCCTTAATTTCGGATGATAAATCAGAGATATAGAAAAGATTAACGACGAGTGTACAATGAAACTATAGACAACAAACAAAAGCGCCAATGTCAATGACCTTCATAGTATTTAATAATAATAATGAATTATAGCAGTTTGTTTTTAAACTCATTAAAGAAATGAACTTCGTTATCAATTGAGACATAATAAAGGACATAAATATGTACATATTGCAACGGTATTATACAATCTCAGCTAATAAATATCAGTGCACATGCATACATACATACATATATATATATATAAACAACTATGCGAATGGATTTATATGCGTCAATTAGTGATAATTTACCAATTTATACTTTTATTGCTGCAATATATGTATGAACAAACATACAAACATGTGTAAATAGTATGTAAGCAGTACTATTTGATGTCTCGTGGATTTAATCATTTGTATTTTCAATTCCATGAAATTGAAAACAAAACTATTTAAATAGGACAAAGAAGTGCGTGCATACAATACATACATACATACATACATACATATGTAAATGCACAGATGCGAATGTATCACCAAGTATTTATAAGACTGATTAATTAAATAGTTAATTAAGAATTAAGAAACCTTGTGTGGTCAATAAAAACTGAATATGAAATTGATCGACAACAGACTGCGACAGGATCGAGCACAGAACAGTTCAGAATTTGTGGAAATTATTTTGTGATTTACTTTAATTGCTTACGCATAAGTAACATATGGGCATACCAACACAGCAACATCAATAGTGAATACTCGTACAAGTAGATCGTTAAATAGTACTCCACAAGAACACTAATGGTTTATATTTTGGTCACTGAGCGCACGCCTTTGTTGCTCAAAAATGGCTTTGTGCGCTTGAAGGGAAATATACAACTGCGCCGAAAAAAAGATTGTAAAAAAAAGTTAATTATCAACATAAAAAATTAATTTATTTAGCAAAGCGATTATTTCAAAATTTTAATTTTAGTATACGTACGCCTTGAAAGTAATTGAAACTATTCTCCTTCCAGCGAACGCCTTCGGAGTGCGTCATGTTCAAGCACTGCTCATGTTCCTCGGCATGATGTTCGGCTATTTCCTGCGCGTCAACATATCCGCCGCCATTGTGCCAATGACAAAACCCGATGCCGATGGGACGTACTTCAACTGGGATACCGCCACAAAATCGCTAATACTAAGTAGCTTCTTTTGGGGCTACGTGCTAGCACAGATTCCGGCAGGTTTGCTAGCCAAACGTTTTGGCGGTAAAATTGTGTTGGGTGTTGCCACATTGCTGGCTTCTGTGATAACAATGCTACATCCGTGGGCCGCATCCGGCGGTAGTTGGCAAATCGTTTGTACACTGCGTGTGCTAATTGGTTTGACGCAGGGCGTCCTTTATCCTGCAGTACACACTTTGTTAGCCAAGTGGGTGCCGCGCACGGAACGCAGCTTCATGGCTACAACGGTGTATTCGGGCGCACAGCTGGGCACGGTTATTATATTGGGTAGTAGCGGTGCTATTTTCGACTCGAGCATGGGCTGGCCGGGAATTTTTTATATTTCTGGCGCTATAGCATTGGCTTGGTCGCTTTTGTTCTTATATTTCGGTGCGGATGATCCACAAAAATCAAAGGTGATTTCATCACAGGAGCGTGAATACATTGAGAAGCTTACTGGCAGCGGCGGTACGGAGGTCGAGGTAAGTTGATATGTATGTATGTGGATTAATTGTGGCGACAACACTCGGTCGTGCGTTTAAATTTGATTGACGTACTATATATGTAAATACATACGGGTCATTCCATACAATATTTATACCTCAATATTTTTTTTTGGGGGTGAAATATATTTCTTTACATTCTTTATCGAAAAAAAGAAGACACCTATTTTTTATTTCGTCATAATATTCGAAAATCTCGAAAAAAATCCCGAAATTTTGAACTCACGGAGAAGTATCTTTTTTAATTGTTTGCAGTTAATAAACTACTCCTCGGAGAAAATCAGTTAAGGTATCAAAATGTGCGTAACTACCTCGGTTTTTCATGAGAGTATGAGATAGATTAAAACAAAAAAACGTTTGCATTAAAAAATCGCATTGTTTTATTTTTTTTATTAACTTCGTCATGTTTGATTTCTATTTTTTCAACCTGAATAGTTGTAAAAATTTATGGAGTAAGCTGTAAAAATTTGTGAATGGAAACACCAAAATTGTAGAAGTTACGATTTTTTTCATACCTGCGTACATAAAGTTTATACTAAAATATATATTCCTTCCTCATTTTTTGAAGTCGGTTAAAGAGTAATTAATTGTCGTAACGTCAAAATTCTAAAGGGGTTAGTTTTGGTTTAGTATTTGTTGTGAATCAACTCAAAACATTTTTAACCGTTATAATAGAACTCACGACTTCCAGATACGAATAGAACCACTTGGCCCGACTGGTTGAAATACAAATTTTCTGCGACCGTAACGGTTATAACTTTTATTAAAAAATTACTTTTTAATGAGTGTTTACTGAGTTTAGTTATTGCTAACAAAATAATGATTAAATGATTTGCCCAGAAAATGAAAATTTATTTTTTGAGTTTCAAGTTTGGCTTAGTAAATAAAAATTTTTGTTTCAAGCTTTATTTTTTGCCTAGAAAATAAAACATAATTTTTAGTTTTTCATTTTTTGCTTAGAAAGTGAAATACCTGTTGGTAATTTTCTTAAGGAGCGGTAGTAAACTAAAAAATCGTCAAATAAATATCTAAGTTTAATAATAAAAGCAAATACTGATATATGTATTGATAAAGCTAAAAAAAAATATCAAACTGAGGGTATTCCGAGTAACAAAGAGTATGTATGTTTGTCTCCTTTTTTTAGAATAATTTTTTATATGAAATATAATTTTAATTAGCTGTTCCTGGTTTTTATACTAATTTATGTAGATACGATGGTGAGAATGTAAATAGAGAAAAGACATTTTAGCAAGTCTTTGTTAAAAAAATGTTTGTTATTTTTTATGAAAATATAGCTTACTGCCTAAAAAACCATGCAAATCTACATTTACAAGTTTGTAGAAGATTTACAAAAACTCGACCAATTTTAACAAAGGTTCATATAAATTTTAAACTTTTTAATCAGACTTTTTAGAATCTCACTGACTTACTGTCGATTTTTGGCAATTTTTTGTTCGCGCATTTTCTTCAATACAAAGTGTGTTCGACAAACTTTTTGTAAGGAAAAAATTAGCAACACCTTCCACAAAAAAAAATTGTCAAAAATCGACGGTAAGTCCCAGCTATTTAAATTAAATAAACTGCATTTCAGAATGTTTCTAGGAAATTAAATTAACATGCTCAAATGTTGTATGAACCTTTGTCGAATTTTTGCAAATTTCTGTACAAACTTTGAAATTTTGCCTTACATGGTTTTTGTTAGATAGCACGCTACACTTTCATAAAAAATAATAAACATTATATAATGGATGGGGGAATAGCCAAATAATGTTAAAATGTCTTTTCCCTATTTATATTTTCGCCACTGTACATTCGAGAGGTCCAAACACAATAAAGCCGGAATTTTAATGCCGCCACCCCCTAGGATTATTCTGAACCGAAAAACTATACCCATATTTTTTTAATTTTAAATCAAAAAATATTTAGGAAAAATATTGATTTTCAAGAATTCTACACTATTTCTACGAAAAGAAGTTTTTTCCCCATAAAAAATACATGGAAAACTTTGAGCGCTCTGCGCACTCCCTCAATTTTTTTATTTTAAAATAAAAAATAGGGGATATATTTTTTTCATTAAAAATCCGACCTTATTTATTTACATACATTTTTAGACCACTTTACTGTACATATTATCAAATATTCCATACAAATTACTTTTTTCTCTTTTTCTCTAGTCTATGCCCGTACCGTGGAAGTCATTCTTCACATCAGCACCATTCTATGGTCTTATCGCCGCTCAATCCGGCTTCACATGGGGCTTTTACACACTACTCACCCAAATTCCCACCTACATGGACTCGGTACTTAAGCTCAATGTGACCTCGAATGCATTACTCTCCGCTTTACCATACTTCGTAATGTGGCTGCTATGCTTGATTTTCAGTCCCATTTCTGATATGCTTATTAATCGCAATGTTTTGAGTACAACAACAGCGCGTAAGCTATTCAATACCATTGGCCAATGGATACCTATGGCATGCCTAATTGCCATGAGCTACATGACGAGCGCAGAACGTATAGAGGCTATAACATTGCTAACCGTTGGAGTAGGTTTCAATGCATCCGCTTTTTGTGGATATTTAGTGAATCATATGGATCTTTCACCGAATTTCGCCGGCCCAATGATGTCCATTACAAATGGTGTGGCGAATTTGTTGTCCGTATTTGCACCGCTGGTTGTGGGCGCCATCGTTGTAAATGAGGTGAGTTTGTGAAGCAATTACTACTTCGTCTCATTTGGCCTTATGGATAAAAACTAAGCAATTGCTTTTCTTAAAATTTCAAACCTTTTACTCGATTTATTCAAATAAATTTTAGCAAAAGGTCTACGATTTTAAGAAGAAGCAATTGCTTAGTTTTTATTCATAATGACCCAATTATCTTTATTTTTAATTTCAACTTATTTTATTCGTATCACAGAAGGAACCCAGCGAGTGGCGCATTGTCTTCTTCATTACCGCCGGTGTTTATTTGGTCTGTAACGCACTATTTATTATATTTGGACAAGCTACCGTACAACCATGGAATGAGCCAAATATTAAGAGCAATATTGCAACATCAGAAACAACAACAATTGATTCTTCAACACTTGGCCACACAGATCTAAATACTACAGAGGCTGCCGCCCCAAGTAAATTCGAGTAGATGTTTATAAAACGTCGCTAATAAGAACTGATAGCATTTAAGTAATAAAAATAACAAAAATTATGAATTAATATTTAGGATATAGCGGTTATGAATAAAAAATACGAATTTAAAAATTAGCCACAAGTTGTTATGTTGTGGTACTTTTTTATGTACATATATATGTATATCCTACAGTTAGGAGACAAACTCGTAGAATTGATAACTCTTGTTCGATAAGAAAGAATTTATTAAAACTATCGCATTGAGTAGTGAAGATTTGTATCTGCTTGCACTCTATACTTCTTTAAAAGCCTCAATTATTGCTGTAAATAATGGCAATCAAAGCATTAACCAGTTATAACCATCGGGAGATTAATTAGACGTGTTTTTGTCACTTTTCTTTGACTGCATTCAAGAGCTCTGCGTCTCACAACAAAATTTGTCCACGACCAGTGACAGCCAGATAAGCCTGAGTACACCATTATTTTGTAGTAATTAAAAAAAAAAAACTGTAGGTACATGCGCAAGAGTAGCGTACCTACTATTCGTAGAATGGAATGTGAAGGTTAACTTTTGAACATTGGAATTTAATACTACCTATTCAACTAATTATTGCTAAATATTTTTGGTTTTATTGATACATATATCTAAAATTTGCCAATACAGAGTATTTTGATGATGGCTGAAAAACTCGTTTTTCTTGTAACGGCCTAATTCGACTAATTTATCAATCGTCGTCGCCATGCTCACACGACAGTCGGGCCCCATGCGTCTGGAACGACCCAGATTTATATCTGGTGAAGAGCTGTCATTCCAGCAGGTTTCGCCAAAACTCTTCGGAAAATTTTTAAGCTATTGCAACAACAACAGCAAAGGTAGCCACAGGAAGTGGCCTGTTTCCACAGGGTCGGACTAAAGGGAGTGGCGTTTTAGCTGAGTGGTGGTTGGTGTCGTGTGGAGAACCTTTACAAGCTGGACATTTCTTTGGTATGTCGGGGTCGAGGCTGGAGAGATATGAGTTCAGATGACTGCAGTATCCACACCTTCGTGCAATGAAGAATCGAGAGACTTCGGAGAGATAGCTCTTTACCTTCGAGCCAACTGGACGCCGTGCCGCGTCGAGGAGTAACGGTGGCCTTACCGCAACAAGGGGCGAGATCACCCATAGAATGAATAAACTGCTTCGTGTAGCGGTTCAGGCATGCGGTCGTACAGACCAGATGGAGAGAAAAAACCAGCAAGAAAAGAACAACATATAAAGACACGAGGAACAGCAGTAGCAACCATGCAGCAAACAAGCGGATGGGAGGAAGAACTTCCTAGAGAGCCCCTCCGACGCTAAGACAGCTCTATTTATCGAGCATACGCGGGACGTAGAGGAACTCTGTACGAGCTCTGGCATCTTCCACGGGAAGGCAATCAAAGAACCTGGCGGGCACGAGACCACCGAACACCAAGACAGGACCGAAGTACGCAGGTCCCGAAGCCGGGTTAGCTTAAGGGCAACACGCGATTCCACGTGGCGGGTGGGAGATCGTCACATATATATGCGGGCGAAACCGCCGATACTTCCGATTCCAGGGCAACCAGAAGCTCTAGATGACCGCCGCCAGTGAGATGATATGTGAGGTACCTGGAGGAAGGAAAGACACCCGAGGTAGCTGGCGAAATGAAGCTTGCCAAATCGTCCCCGCAAGAGAGTAGGTACGACAATGAGCGCGGTGTCCAAGAGAGTAGACTAACCACACCCGTGGACGAGCGGAAGAGCTCGCAACACCAGCAATGTAGGCAAGAAAATTTCTCGCAAAGAGACCGTGATAGATAGGCCGATGAGCGTGCATAATAGCGAGAGAGAAACATTGCGTATGTTGCGCATTGCAACAAGGTGGTGAGAATGTAATACCGCACCTTACATTCCATAGTTTTGGTGAAGGGCGCGAGTAATATTTATCCAGAAAGTGGGTAAAAGCATTGGAGAAGATAGTGGACAACCATATTAGATCTAACATTCTCAAGACACCACCCTTCTTAGCATGCATACAGAGCTAGAAGGTCCACGGACGCAGCCCTGTACCAATTGACAACTGAAATTCGGGGGGCCTTTGGATGTGGAGAAATAGTGCTCTGTGCCTTTCTCGATGTAAAGGGAGCCTTTGACAATACGTCTCACTCTGGGGTGTGCAGGGCTCTGGTGGATACACTGCTGCATACTAGAATTGCTGAAACCGACGTAGGGGACAGCGTGGTACAATTATAAACAAAGAAGGGCTAGCCTCAGGGGAAAGGAAAGGAGGACAGGTGTTATCTCCCTTCTGTGGAGCCTAGTAGGTAGTGGATGAACTCCGTCAGGGTATGTCTGACAAAATGGTATCCGCTTCCAGAGGGAAGTTTGCGAACATCCTCTCTGAAATTATTCAAAGAGGCTTAGCATAAATCCAACCGAAAACTCCATCGTTCCATTTACTAGCAAAAGAGCTCTGCCGGGCATGAGCGACATTACCTGGCCAACGTCGCCGGCGCAATGAAGTACCTAAGTTTAACCCTGGATATCAAGCTTCTACGGAAGGGGTGGCTATACACCATGATAGCACACCCAATAATAACCTATGGGGCGGTGGCTTGGCTTTCAAGAACCACTCTGGCCACGGTGAGACAACGACTGACAGTGTATGCATAACGAGAATGCCCGACAAAGTCTAGCCCCTCTATATAACCATAGAACAGGTCGGTTTTGTTAGGGAGGGGTTTGGAAGAGGTAAGGCCATTTCCGTTATGAACATTGCAAAGCTAGGATCCTCGCTCACGCCAGCTCTTCTTCCGAGAGATGACATATGTACAACTATAGGTTTTGAGAAGAGGTTTAAAATAAGAGTTAAGCAGTAAAGCAACCTGGAATATCTCCACCTTTGAGAGACTCCATCAGGACAGCTCACTGCATTGGTACACAGACGGTTCGAAGACTCCAGATGGAATATGACCTGGAATCTTTAGGCCCAGGACCAGGATCTCTATTCCTATTCCTATATTTCAAGCGGAAGTCTACGCCATTTATTTGTGTGCGGAGACTATTGTAAATAGAGGATACCGTAATGAGAGAATTATAATTTTAAGTGATAGTCAGGCGGTACTCAAGGCCCTCTTCTCTTTTGAAATCAAATCATACCTGGTCATTGAGTGCATTGAGATGCTCAACTCCCTTGGCGGCACAATAATAACAGAACGGCTTGGATACCTGGCTATATGAGAATAGAGGGGGAGGAAGCAGCGGAATGTCTTGCAAGAGAGGCTCCGAGCCCTTCATGGGAGTAAGTCCCAATACTTTAAAGAAGGAGCTCAGTAGGGAGAGGAATTTGAGGGATTTAAAATTGCATAATTCAGTAGGAATTCGTCAGGCAAAGAGTCTACTGGGAGAGTATAACAAGAGGAGTTTCCAAAGCTTATTTAACCTCTCAAAGGAGAAGCTGAGAATACTAACAGGTTTGCCGTATGTGTAAAGACTGAGGCTCATTCCACGGTAATCGATACCGAATGAAACGAAAATAAACTTAAGAACTTTAGTATATTATTTCTAGTAAGTAAGAGTAAATAAATCTAACTTTCAAGACTGAAAGCCAAATTTTCGAAATTTATCTCAAAATCAGATATTTTTATACTTTAAGGGACACTCAAGCAGACGCGGTATTGGGAGTGCGGTACAAGGCGGGACATAGTATAGTTATGTTTTAAAGAATTTTATATTACAGTTTAAGATTAAGCCTTAAAATGTGAGTTGAAATGTCACACCCGTCACCGTGGAATGAGCCCTCAGCAAATGCTCCTTCTTAAAATTTCAGACCTTTTATTTAAATTTGAATAAATGAATTAAAAGGGCAGTATGAATAAAAACTAAGCTATTTCTTTTTTTTTTTTTAATTGGAGACATTTTCTCGATTTATTAAAAGAAATTTGATTATAAAGTCTGAAATTTTAAGAAAAAATAATTGCTTCTCTACCCTCTATTTTATTGTATTGTCAATGCTGTTGATAGTAGAAACCAAAGCATAACGAAAAATCAGTATTGCTAGATTTATCTATTGTATACGTGTATTTATATATGATTGTATGTACATACATGCAGTTTAGCATACGTTTTAAACTTAATACTTTATAAGTTAGTACAATTAATATATATTTGTAAGCAGACTTCAAACGTAGTATAAGCTCTCACAGGAGCCTCTTGGAAAATGGTACTTCAGAATTCAGACCTATTTGAATACTGAGAAATTTTACAATACCAATTATTGAAAGAGTATTACTTAATTTTATTTTGCAATATTCGCTGTTCTTCTAATTTATAATTAATTCGACGAGGAATGGAATGTGTGCGGAACACGGTCCACAGTGATATGACCCAGCTTATAATAATTGTCGCATATAAAATTGGCGGATATGACTTTTCATTTCCTATAGGTATGTCAGCCCGTAGATCCGTTTTAAGTTGAAAATGTACGTCAATTAAATACCAACCACAGTTTAAGTAAACTTCATGATTAGACTTCGCAGATAAGTTGCTCTTATTCTCGCTCTGTTGTGTTACGAAATTTATGCTACCTTCATTTAAGCAAAACTTGTACTTAGATGCTGTTTCCAACAACTCTTCAATGGACTCGCTCTCATATGTGTCACATTTTATATATAGTTTTGGAATGGGTATCTCAACAGTAGCGAATTTACTAAAAAATACATTCAATATAAAAAAATTTATATATACATACGTACTTTGAAAGATTTTTCCTACTTGTGATTTTTGCTTGGAGCATGGTAACGGTAATGTATTGGTAATTTAATGTTATCCGTTGGCTGTGGTGTACCTTTCAACAAGACAGTAAACGATTTCGATTTTTCTGTAGACAACTCAATATCCACGAATGGTGGATAAATAGCATTTAACTGAAAAAAGGGAATAGCAATTGAAGTGTTAAAAAACCCCAGAACATGTGCATATTATATACTTTCATCAAACGCTTCAAATCGTCCAATTGATCAACACTTATGTATACACCAGCGGGCAGCTGCTGCTCCAGTATATATTCACATTTCTTATCGCTTAGCGAATTAGCAAATTGAACCAAGTAGAAAAGCTCTCTATAAACAAAAAATAATAAGTTTAAGGATTCTTAATTTTTAGTGGATATTAAATACCGATGCATTCCAGTACCACCTAGCTGCATACCCACAATGGGTTTCGGAGGCGACTGGCTGCAACTATGTATTTTTGGCGACACCAGCAGCAAAGTAAAAAAATATATCGCCGAGGCAATCATTATATATTGTGAAAATAGCTATGTATTTTATTATGAAAATTTCTTGCAAATCTACATTTTTTGTATACCGGCAAATAAACTGAATATTTGACAGACACTAAACAGCTGACTTTCCTGAGTAGGGGTGCAAAAGATGCATCGATGTTTTTCAAACATCCGGTTCGATTTTCGATTTTTGCCATCGATGTTTACAATTTACTCTCCAACTTTCTTTCGGTATGTTTGACTGACTTTAAACTTATTATTCATTCAAATTTTTTTGTTATTTATGGCCTTATTACAATTATATTCAACAATTTTATTGAGCTTGAGGCTGGTTTTTATGAAAAATGTTGTGGAAAAGCAACAATAATTTACAAAGGTAAGACGTTATTGCTGCTATTTCGGAGATCACCACATCTCCACAGTGACCGCGGTTGAAGAAGTATGATTAGTAGATGTGGTGATCTCCCAAATAGCAGCTATAACTTCTTACCTTTGTAAATGACCCAGCCAGCAGAGAAATGTACTTATTGCCGAAAGTGCAGTTTTCGTACATATTTCGTTTCCGGAAATATTCAGAATAATTTTAAAATATTTGTTCAAACTGAGCATTAGAAAACATATATACATATTCGCCAGTTGCTGAGTGTGCAGAGAAGTGTGCTACTATTTGTTAGCTTTCAGGAGGTCCCAGGTTCGAATTCCGTCAGAAGCAACACATTAAAATTAGTTATTCAAATTGAATCTTAAATTTGTTTTTTGTTTGGTTTCCTGTAACTATGAAAAAGTTTCTGTGAAATTCATAATGAAATCGTTTTCAACGAATAATTGTATCAGACAAATTTCAGGGAAACAGCCGAAAGCGCATCCGTTTTACAACCATTTTCGATAGTTTTTCGCACATACGTTTCGGATGAACACTTAAGTGGGAGAATTGATCTGAAAAACGTCCGAAAACGGATGAAACATCAGGTTTTTATACGAAATTGTTTCCATTTTCGGACACGTTTCCGGATATTATGCTGGCTAGGTAGTTTTGCTTTTCCACAACATTTTTTATAAAAAACGGCCCCAAGCTCAATAAAATTGTTGGATTCATTCTGAATGCTAACACCCTAGCCGTCAAAACAGAACCAAACACCCCTTAGAATTTCAACAAGATCAGGCCAAGAATCTTTAGTCCCGAACGACCTGACGATGGTATGCATTTTGATTCTAATGATAGAAAGGGTATAGAAAGGATAATAAAAGACAGGAAAATACATTCATAATTATTAAAGTATTCAATATTGCTATAAATTTAACTAGAAATTAACAAATTGCAAAACATCGGAAACCATCGATATATTCCTGAGACTGCTTAAGAATTGTAATCGATGAATTCGATATCGATAAGTTTTAATAAGTGCGCAAGAATTTAAAGTTTGAAATTTTTGAAGCATACATCATTTTCAAATAAACTGAATTCATATCATTTTCAAATAAACTATCATAAAAACTTCACAAGCCGATCAGGCGCAAATCACCAGAATCTGTATATATGTATGCCGAACTCTGCCATCCAACGGCATGATATTAGACAAACAAAAGCAACATTTCTCAAATCAGGTACAGAATAAACAATACTTAAAATTGTTCTATACACAAAAAAAAGCTTTAATTTATTTCACTACTTAGTTTTATTCAAACGCCTATACATATCAGAACCTTCTCTCGCTAGTTTATCTGCCATCTGGTTACCAGCAATGCAGTGATGACCTTTGACATAATTCTATATAAATGGAATAATAAAACATATATTTAAAAACATATGTATCTACCTTACCCATTTCACCTTCATATTGTCGTCTCTTAACAATTCATCAAGCTCTTTAAAATCTACAGCATTTTTAACCGGTTCTCCATTTTTCAAACGCCACTCTTTTTGTTTCCATGCATTAATCCACATTGTAATTGAATTTATAAGGAATTGGGAATCTGTACTAACACACAGCTTTTCTATACCAAAAGTTCTTGCTGTTTTAATAGCGTGAATTGCCGCTTGTATTTCGCCTACATTGTTGGTAACTCGACCTGTGACTGGGCGCGACATGTTTCTAAACGGAATATTTTTAGCATGAAATACCAAATAATTAGAAAAAATATGTATCGTACAAAGGATGGTTTTCCCCAAAATATACTCCCAAACCAGCACAAGCATCCGGTCGTCCATTATTGATGCATGAACCATCTGTATAGACGATAACGTAACCCTCAGAATCTATTTCAAATGTATATTCATTGATTTTTTGAGATCCTACGGGTTTCCAAACGTTCGAGACATGCACAGGATGCTTTTTCAGTTTGGCCTTGGACTCTCCATCGGTATTTGATTTTCTCTTATTCGTCGCGCGTGTTTCACCATTCGATTGATTTTCAAAAGCAGCTACAGCAGCAAGCTATGACAATAAAATTTTATAATTTATAATGGGCTTCAATGTTCATTATAATACACGCCTACAAGCTCTGAATCTTCTAATGAGTTTAACTCAATAGTTTGCTCTTCTGGCCAGAAATCTTCCGGTGTTGAATTTGATGTTTCTGGAGCAACAATTCCTGTTGTATTTTGCACAAACGCCTCAGCTTCTGGGCGTGATTTAAATTTCTTATATTTAGCACCTTTGAATCCTTTAACCTGCTCTGCGCATTGGGACCTAAAAAATAAAGCTTTGATAAATGTTGATTTAAGTTTATCGGGCATACTTACCAACTATCATAAATGCCAACATTATGGCCACGAGCTACAGCGTAAAAAGACATAAACAAGCCTTTAATATTTGGTTGTGGAAGAGTTTTTCTTAAAAAGAACATCTAACACTTGATGCCTTTAAATTTTTTCGATTATGTCCCTTTGTTTTGAGGCGAAAAAACAGCTGATAGGTCTCAAACATATCGATCTTAGAAATACCATTTTTAAATCGATTAATCGAGCTTTTTCAATTCGACCCGTGAATCGATTTCCAAATAATAAGAATGGATATATCCTCGATTGATAAATATTAGGGCTGTTCAGGATTTTGCGCATATACTCTTGCATTTGCATATTCGCTCCATTTGTAAATTCACAACAATAAAATGCCTACGGTTGTCATGCCAGCCATCATAAACTTTGCAAATGCAATTCCAACTGCAAAATGACGGCTTTTGACATTTATTTTTGTTCTTCTTCTGTTGTACTAGCAAGAATTTGCAGCTTTCCCGTGTTGTTACGCTCCCTCTTCAGTGATCCTGTGCAAACTTTTTGGGTTTTCCAGTACAAATTTATACCGCCTAGTTGTTTTTATACACCCCTAATACTTGTGTTTTAGGCGATTTTATATAAAATAGCGAAGAAATAACATATATATATATATTTTTTTTTTTAATAGTTGACGGATCGAATCGGTATTGGATACCGAAAACGATGTATTGGGTACCACCATTTCCCTCAAATATTTGGTACTGAAAATTCATCACATCACTGACATCATTAATATCGAGAGAAGGTGATATAAAACGCAATAGTTGGCGGGTGAAGTAAAATTTGAAAAAGATAGGACTCGCCTAAAATTTAAGGCGCAGTGTATTATAGATTCTAACGGAGTTATATGGACCAACCTACATAAAAATTTAATTGAACAAAAACGAAATATCGTCAAAATGCCTTTCTACGCAGTTGCAAATGGACGAAAAGTGGGAGTGTACACCAGCTGGGCTGAATGTGAGCAGCAAGTGAAAAAATTTAGCGGCGCAATTTTCAAGAAGTTCCCATCCCTCTCGGAAGCGACTGATTATTTGATACAACAGCAAGCAAACATATTACATGAAAATCTTGAGAAAGAGGCTGGTTGTAGTGCCATGGCAAGTGGGTTCGCAATGAATATTAAGCAAGAGGAACCCGAATATATTCCTCTACAAACAACAGACGTTTTGACGCCAAGAATAAAACAAGAACCCAAGGGCGATGGCATGTGGTTTGAGGATGCCAAGGGCGATGATGAGCTGGTTTGTTAGGATTCAGTTAGTTTGCATATTTACGTTCTAATAATTTACTTTCAAGTTGGCGGCGCTTGGCGCACTTAAGGAATACCCAGATAAAAGTTTGAAAACAAGAGCAACCAAGATAGAAAAAATCAATATTAAAAAAGAACGCGATGCTAAAATACAGCGTCTCAAAGTTGGTAACTACGTATATAATGTGGACAATGATGGCTACATAGACGTATACATTGGTGGGCACGGCGAAAATATAGGCAACTGGAATTGCATGGCTGGATATGGTGTATACTTTGGCGAAAATCACCCTCTGTAATTAAACGAAATAAATACAAGATCAGTGAGTATAGAGCACTTAATTCTTTTATTTTTAGCAATGTTGCTGAAGCTGCATCGGGTCGTATGACGCGCAATGTTGGTGATATTGAAGCGGCGATTGCAGCAATTGAAGCCGCTGAACGCGTTGGTATTCCTAAATTATGTTTACACAGTAGCTCTGAATTTTTGCTGAACGCTGTTGCACATTGGATGCATAATTGGAAGCGGAACGGTTGGCGGAATAAGGATGGTAAAGTGGTACAAAACCGAAAACAATTTGAAAAATTAGATAAGCTTCTCACAGAAAGTTCAATTGACATAAAATGGGTAAAATTTGGGACTGTTCTAATTTAAAGATTACTCATCTAATATAACGTTATTTTAATAGGCTGATGCCCGTAAGGAAGCTGGTGCCTCGAAGCACATGCGTGGTGTGAAAAGGTTGGCGGCAATCGGTACAGAGGAGTATCTTGATAAGCATCCCAGTAAGGATGACAGCTTTTCTATGGATTTAGATTACTTTGATTTTTATTAAATTGTCCCTCAGCTGGTCTTAGTGCCCTCGGATAGATATTCTTGTGATAGATGTAATCGTAAATTTTGAAAAAAATTCATTTTATGAAACCTTTGCGAGCATTCGATCGACTCCTGGGAATGCTGACATATGTATATACATACATATTTTCGGTGTTTGCCAATGTGAATTCGCCTTAATGTTTTACATACCAATTTTTTCATGAAATTATTTAAAGGATTTCTCGATTTAAAGTATATAAAGTATTAGAGTTGTTTGTCTTGTGAATTTCGATATCCTTTATCTTGTCCTGAAAGTATTTTTTCTTTTGCTGTTTATATACATTATAAAATGCGCTAATTATTAATGAATTATTAAAATTACCTATTTTTATTTGAAATAATTTCATATTTAAAACTTCACATTTTTAATTGAAAGAATTTATTGTTTAAAACTTTTTTAGCTTTTCCTGTGAATGTCAACCTATTTCGATTATTGGTTGTTTTTGCAAAAAATGACAGTATTTTCCATGATTCAATAGTTAATTAATTTATTATTAAATCATGAGTATTTTTAACATGTTAAATATAATAGAAATATGATGTATTATTCATAGAGTATTAAAAATGGAAGTACATACATATTTGAAAATATTAAACACGAACAATTTATCCTTCCTGTAAATTTTAAGCTAGTATTAGAATTGGAGGTTTTGGAAATCCCGTCAAACTACTTTTATATTTTGAAAAGTGAACTGTTAAAAAAAGCGGGATAAAGCTTAATAAACATATCGCTCAATTTACTTCAATAGTGTTATAACTTGAAAAAAGCAAAACTCAGGAAAAATGGCTTTACAGTTTTGAATTTACATGTCGGTAGTTAAGTATGGAAAGCGCGTATCGTCGCTAAAATACAAAAACCCACAACTAAGAATCCAAAATTCTCTTTCTGGTTGATTGTTATGCATTTCGTCGATTTATTAGTCCCCAAATCGTTTTATGCAATGCAAAATTTTAGTTAGTTGTGGCTTTTTTGCATTTCAGCGACACTGTAGGTTACGCCCTTTCCATACGAAAGGTATACATAAAAAAATTAACTCGTAATCGGTGCAGCTATGAAATTTATGCAACAACATGGAAGAAGAGGTAGAGATCGTTTCAACACTGGGCTCGGTTAAAAATTCTTAAGAAAGCGGAATTCTGAAGCAAAACGAAGGAAAAGTCGTTTGTAAATGGCCCTGAAAGGTAAAATTGATATAAAGTCGACGTTCAAGTTGTTAAAGTGAGTGTGTTAGTAAAAAGTGTGAGTGTGTTACAACTTGATAGGAAGTTCTTGATCGTGTAACCTTTTATTATGGAATCTTGAGCCTGCGGCATAGGCATCGATTTTTGGAAATTTTCGATATTTGGAGACAAAATCGAGTGCTCAAAACATCGATTTTTTCTTCACGATATTTGGACAACATCGATTTATTGGCCCGATATTCATGTTGCTCGCGCTCATGGTGAAATAAAAATAAGGTGATGTCAGTTAAGGGGTGTTTGTTGTAATTTTGACAAATTCCGTAGTCCCGTTTTGAATGATGCCCTCTTGGAGAAAAACAACTCTAGAAAACCTCGTTTTATGTGTTTTTCTGAAAAAGTAAGAGTGAACATCACTGTTTTTGACATTTCTCTTTAGTTGTGACTTCTGAAATTTATATTTTTAGCGAAAATTGTGATTTGTGCTTATATTTAAACACCTTTTAACTGCGGATTGTGATCTCTTGGAAGTTTTCTGGATTGTGGATGCAAATTTAGGTAACAAATTTTAAATATGTATTGTAAATTGACAAATAAAAACTAATTAAATTTACCTCCACATATTTGTGAATTCTGTGTCTTTTACCTCAGCGTGAAGCTGCAACACAAGTGGGGTTTTTGGCTGCAACTTCCAGCTGAGTTTATTCAATTGGCCAAGTTGTTTTGAAAATGGTCAGTAAAAGTGTTTTTTCTTGGTTAATAGGTTTTGGAAGTTGACCTCAACTAGAGGCTGCATTACAAGTGCAAGGAGTGAAACGCTTTTAGAACTTAGCTAGTGAATAACATGATATAGTAAAAATGTATTAATATTACGTTTTACACAAATATAAGTGTAGAATAGCGACCCCCGGAAAAAAATAATTAGTGGCGTTTTTCCTAATTTTAATGGTTTCTTGTGCAAATTAATATTATTGGTCGTAGAGGAGGAAAGGTGGAAAATTCAAAGTTTAAAATGCACTTATTTCCCAAAATTCTTAACCGATTTTTATGAAATTAGTATCATCAAGTAATTTTTATATTAATCATTTGCACAAAACATTTTATATACCCTTGAAATCAGGAAAA